AGCCTGCTTCTCCCTCTCCCACTCCCCCTGCTTGTGTTCCCTCTCTTGCTGTGTCTCTCTCTGTCAAATAAATAAATAAAATCTTTAAAAATAAATGAAACATGTTAAAATTAATGGGATAAAACAAAAAAAAAATGCTTAGAGAGAAATGTATAGCTTTAAATGCCCGTAGTAGAAAAGAAGGAAAGTCTCAAATTCATAACCTAAGCTTCCATTTTAAGAAACTTAAAAAAAAAAAAAAAGGAAAGAAAACCCAAAGCCTGCAAAAGAAAAGAAATAAAGATTAGAGCAGAAATCAGTGAAACAGAAAACAATAGTGAGAATCAATGAAACCAAAAGTTGGTTCTTGGAAAAGATCCACAAAATTGACAAACCTTTAACTAGATGAACCAAGGGGGGAAAAAGAGAGTAGACATAACCAAAATCAGGAGTGAAAAAGGGAATGTCACTACTGACCCCAAAGAAATTAAATGATTATGAGGAAATATTATAGATATGTTTTTGCCAATAAATTAGACAACTTAGATGAAATGGACAAATTCTTAGAAAGATACAAATTACCAGAACTAATTCTAGAAGAATTAGAAGAATTTGAACAGACCTATAACAAGCAAATAACTTGAATTTGTAATTAAAAATCTTCCCACAAAGAAAAGCTCAAACCCAGATGTCTTCACTGGTGAATTCTATCAAATATTTAAAGAACAAATAATGCTAATTCCTCATATACTCTTTAAGACAATAGAGGAATGTACACCCTAACTCATTCTGTGAGGCCACTCACTTTTCCCTGAAACTAAAGCCAGAATAAGACATCACAAGGAAAGAAAGCCATTTACCAATATCCCTCATGAACATAGATACAGAAGTCCATAACAAAACATTAACAAACAAAATTCAGCAACAAATGAAAAGGATGACGCTGTGATCAACTGGAATTTATCCAGGAATGCAAAGTTAGCTTAACATCCACAAAGCAATCAGTAAGAATAATACTACTACACCATATTAATAGGATAAAGGACATAAATCATATGACGACCTCAGTAGACACAGAAAAGGCATTTGACAAAATCCAACATCCATTTATGATAAAATCTCTCTACAAACAAGGAAAAAAGGGTATTTCCTAAACCTGATAAACAGTATCTGTGGAAAAATCCATACCTAACAACATATGTGATGAAAGACTGAAAGCTTTCCCCCCAGTATTGGGAACAAGGTAAGGATGCCTGCTTTCATTACTTCTGTTCAACACTGCACCTAGCCAGTACAATAAAGAAGAGAAAAAAAGAAAGATAAAGGAATGAAGGGAGGAAAAGGGGGTGGGAAGGAGGGAGAAGTGAAAGGTATACAGCTTGAAAAGGAAAACGTGTAATTTTCTTTATTAGCAGATAACATAATCTTTTATTTAGAAAATCTAAAAGAATTCACAAAAAAACAAGAAGTAATAGAACAAATAAATGAATTTAGCAAGATTACAGGATACAAAAGCAATATAAATATCAGTTATATTTATTGTATAACAACAAACAAAAATAAAATTCTCAGAAGGGAATTAAGAAAACAATTCAAATGACAAGAGCATAAAAAAGAAGAAATACTCAGGACTAAATTTAACAAAGGAAGGGCTGGCCTTGCACACTAAAAATTACAGGATATTGCTGAAAGAAATCAAGGATAGTATAAACAAAAAGAGAGTCACTAGGTTTTCATGGTTTGAAAAACTCAATAGTGTTGAGATGGCATTTCTCACCAAAATGATCTGTAAAGTCAATGCAATCCCTGTCAAAGTCCCAACTGCCTCTTTTTTTTCTTTTTTGGTAGCCTAAAATTGATATAAAAATGCAAAGGACCCAGAATAGATAAGACAATTTTTAAAGGAGGGGGAAAAAAGGAAAAATTTAGAGGACTTCCTCAATCTGATTTCAGAACTTAGTATAGAAACATGGTGTAATATTGGGGCAAGGAAAGGCATATACATCAGTGGAACAGAATGGAGAGTACAGAAATAAATCCTTACATTTATGAGCAGTTGATTTTTAACAAAGGTGCCTAGACAATTCAATGGGGGAAAAGATAGTCTTTCAGCAAATAGTGCTGAGGATAATTGGATATCCATATACACAAAAACTAAACTTAGACCCTTACTTCACACTCTATACAAAAAATTAACTCAAAATGAGTCATAACCTAAATGTAAGAGCTAAAACTATACAGTTTCTAGAAAAAAATAGAGGAGAAAATCTTTGTGGCTTTGGTTGGGAAAATAGTTCTTAGATATGATACTAAAATCACAATAAATAAAAGAATTGATAAATTGGATCTCATTAAAACTCTAAACTTTTCTGCTAAAAGACATCATTGAGAAAAATGAAAGAACAAGCCACAGACTGGGAAAAAATATTTGCAATCATATATCATATAAAGGACTTATATCCTGAGTATATAAATAATTCTTATAATTCAGTAATGATTTAAAAACGCAATTAAAATTGAGAGTCATATCATTTCCTATCAAGGAATT